ATAGCATTCGTTGTAGGAATGTAGGAATGCTTAGTAGGTTCACAAGTAATCCTGGAAAGCTTCATTGGGATGCTGTCCAGAGATTGATGAGATACTTGAAAGGAACTACAGGTCTGGGCCTATTCTACACTGGATATCCGACTGTAATAGAAGGCTATTCAGATGCGAGCTGGTGCTCAGAACCAGATGAGTGCAGATCTACTAGAGGTTTTGTCTTCACCATGGGCGGAGCTGCCATCTCATGGAAATCTAAGAAGCAAACTATGATTACACAGTCATTGATGGAATCTGAGTTCTTCGCACTCTGTATTGCAGGAGATGAAGCTGAGTGGCTCAATTGTATTCTCCGAGACCTTCCATTGACAGAATTGCAAGGCGCAATTACAATCTATTGTGATAATCAGGCAACGGGTGCTGTGGCAGCGAACTTATTGTTCAATGGAAAGAAGCAGACCATTCGTCTGAAATATGGCTATTTGAGAGAACTCATTTGCCAAGGAGTCATCTCGGTGATTGATGTTCGGTCTTCAGAGAATGTGGCTGATCCTTTGACTAAAGGTCTAAAAAAGGACATAGTCGAAAGGACGTCTGCTGCAATGGGTCTCAAAGTCTTGTGAGTCTTACAAATACTTACAATGTTCATCCAATTATTAGTTCAAAGCTTATGATACTAATAATAAAGATAACTGGTTCAAAAGTCAAGTAAGATTTGTAAAGTTTGGTGACTCTTACAAATACTTACCAATTCGTCAAGTTATTAGTTCAAAGCTTACACAACTAATGACAAGATGATTGGTTCAAAAGTCAAGTAAGATTTACAAGTAAAATCCTATCATGTAAAGAGGTTGGCTCTTAAGCCTTAATGGGTCCAAAGCATTTCGGATGCGGGATGTTGGATAGGTAACATGCCTAAAGGACTCACCGATAATCCTATCATGTAAAGGGGCTGGCTGTTAAGCCTTAATGGGTCCAATGCATTTTGGATGCGGGGTGTTAGATAGGAAACATGCCTAAAGGACTCACCTAGAATCCTATCATGAGAGATGATGGCTCTTAAGCCTTAATGAGTTCAAAGCATTTTGAATGCGGGATGTTTGATAGGAAACATGCCTAAAGAACTCACCTATGCCTGGGTGGAGATTTGGCCGTCTCCTATGGTGTCTTGTGAAAAGATACCTAGAGCCCTAGCAGAAACCAGGACTAGCATAGGGCCATAAATGTGCAAAGACAAAGGCAAGTGTGGTTCAAAGTGAAAACTACCACAGATGAGTTTGATCTTGCGTGATCGCTGGATTTTAGATGTGTGCTGGTTCAAGTCTCTGCGACACCATGCATCTATCTTCTAATCAGTTGGTCTAAGGGGGATTCAAGTCCTTACGACATCTACCTTATGCACAACGATTGAAACGACGACACCATTTCATGACACTAGTTTAAAAACTTGTGGGGGATTGTTGGATTTTTTGGTCAAAACTGCTTTCCAAAATGAGTTTTTAAACTATATATAAATTAACTACAAGTACTTTTCATAAATGCTTAGTAGCCTAGTGGAAAGTTAATGTTTTGTTGTTTCAAAAGGTCCTTTGTTCGAGGTTTGCCAACGACAAGCCGAGAAGTGTTTTATTTGAATTAATCCCTCATAAGTTCTAGTGGGTCATGGGTCGTGGGCCATGGGCCGTGGGCCGTAGTCCGTGGGCCAATGGGCCGGGGATCGGTGCTAATCGGGCTGAGACGCTAAGTGACGCTTTGTTAGGCGCACTTTGCACATCGCACGGAGGCATCGGGACGAGGTGGCGCTATTTGGCGCCACGTTGGCTGCCACTATGGTCACCACGAAGGTTGCATCGCAGCATGCGGACGAGCTGCGTATTCGCACGAGGGTGACCCTAGCATTCTCGTAGTTTGACAAGGTTCGCTCGTTCGATGAAGTTCATCTGTCATATGAGGTTCGCCTATTTGACGATGTTCGTTCGTTTGACGAGGTTCGTCTGTCATACGAGGTTCGCTTGTTCGACGAGGTTCGTCTGTCATACGAGGTTCGCCTATTTGATGAGGTTCGCTCAATCGACGAGGTTCGTATGTCATACGAGGTTTGCCTGTTTGACTATGTTCGCTCGTTCGACAAGGTTCGTCTGCCATACGAGGTTCACCTGTTTGACGACGTTCGTTTGTCAAACGAGGTTCGTCTGATCTACTGAGTCGTGACCCTCGCGTTTCGTAGCAACGCATCCATTGATTGCCTCGTATTCAGCAGTTACTGCATGCAACAGTTACAACAACATTAAGAGCAATTTAATGCATTGATGTTACAATCTTAATTGTCATTAAGAATTGTAACGGTCACATTAATTGCTATTGACTCTTGAGCTGGTCTTAGAGGCCTATAAATAGCGCCATTGGGTAGCTCTTGGAGATAGCTGAAAATCCTCTCGCGTGCATGGAACACGAACGTTGCGTGCTGGAAAACGAACGTCGATCCCGACGTTGTTGCTGTTGTGCTGCTGCTGCAGGAACTTGTGCCCACGGGAACTTATCTTAAACCGAAAGGTTTTGAACCGTAAGGTTTTGAACCGTAAGGTTCTGAGATCGAGGAGATCTTTTGTCTTGACTGAAAGATCTTATAGATCGAGGAGATCTTGACAGTACTAGGTTGGTGCATACCAGAGTACTATACTGCTGTTCCTGAAAACAGTTTGGCCTTAGGATCCTTGTACCGGAGTAGGCCAAATATTGTTTTAAGCACAACGTTTCTATAACACACAGCAGTAAACTAAAAAATTAAAAACTACAGCACATCTGTTTTCTCAGTTTATTTCCAGATTTAACCATAATTTCCAACAGAATTTACAATATCAGCTTTTCAAAATTCAGAAATTTGTTGTGCATGCTTTCAGTCGGCCGATTGGTTCCACCAGTCGACCGATACTCTTGCATCAGTCGACCGATGTAATTTTTAAGTTGACCAACCAAAGCATTTTTTTAGCCTTTAGTTTTACAGTCAAATCAGTCGATCGATCAATGGTCTTTTGGCTAACGGCTAGTTTTTGGCTGATTTCTTTTGAGAGGCTATATATAGTCCTCATAACTCATTTGTTTCTTTATGGAAGTTTAGAAAAAGGTTTTGCAAAGAGTTTTAAGAGAAAATCAAGTGTGTTTTTTTGTTTGAAGAAGTTTTTACAAAGAGAAGGATTTCATCTTCAAATCTCTACCTCTCTTTTTTTTAGAGAAGTTTTTCTAAACTCTTCATTTGGCTATTTAATATTTTGTTTCTCAAAATTTTATGCTAGATTGATTTGAGTTTTAATTTTATTATACTCATTGTTTACACACACACCCACTTGAGATTTATTATCTCACATTAAGTATATTTGGTATGTGGGAGTAATTCATTGAGTGAGCTTAAATTTCGTTCTCATTTGCATTAGAGAACATATCATTTATTTGTACTTATTGTTGAAACACGTTGTAATACACAAGAACACTTAGAGGAGTGGTTGGTGAAAGACCGATGTCAATTGCAAGAGGAGTGAGATGGTTGTAAAGCCTAGGGAGAGGTCGTAAATCAAACACTTTAGGAATGTGACACGGGTAGTCCAACACTTAGAGGAGTGTGTCCTGTGGAATTGATAATGTGTGAGTTGTAAAAGTTTTCGGTGAACTTTGGAAACCGATTGTGTAGATTTTTGTGATATAGTGGAGAATCTCCTCGAGGTGAGGAGTGAAGACATAGGTCGTGAGTTGACCGAACTCCGTGATCATATCTTTGTGTTTGTGATTATCTTTAGCGTATTTTTCACCTTGCTTTTATTGTTTATATCACCTATTGTCATATTGTTTCATTGTATATCATTGCTTATATTTTTGTGTATATCATCATTGCAAAGATAATTCATTATTAGTTTTAATTTGGCATCAATATCGGATTAGATTAGCACTTACCCTACTCACCCCCGGTACTTTCATGAAGCTGTGATGAGGTTTAAGGAGGGACACTTTTATATGAAGGGGGTTTAGTTCGAAATTATATGTGTAGTAATAAGAATTTTCCTTTCCGGAGAATTTATTTATAACTTAGCAATTTGTATTTGTTCCAGTCAATCTCTGAATGGGGAGTCAGTTGCTAAATAAAAATACATAAGATTGACACAAAGAGAAATATCTATTTACTAATTTCTTATTGTTTGCAATGCTAATCGCGCCATAGATCTGTCACTCAATGCTTTGAGTTGGATATTGTGTATATATATGTATGTGTGATAAATTTTCAAGCCAGTTTAGATTATTTCTAAAATATGAATCAAACTAGTTTGATGTGTTAATTTTTCAAACAAGTTAATATAGTTATTAGAATAATTACACTATACAATTTATTTTTGTTACGCACAAATCCTAGGATGCAACACCATAATAATCTCCTTTCACCATCTCATTTTTATTTTATCATACTTCACATATACAACCACATTCAAATCATATTTATATGCCATCTGAGGGATGGATATATTTTCTTGTGGAATGATATTGCACTATTTTTTTTTCTCACAGCCCCTGAAAAATAAAATTAAAATAAGAACAACAGCTGTATGCAATTAGCGCTTCCATAGACTTCCCGCCAAAATCCTCACTATATTCCCAAGTTCCTCCAAACTATGAACCCACCGCATCAATTCTCCTGAACTGAAACAATTGATAAAAATGGCTTCTTCTGCTTCAAAAACCCTAATTGAAATCCTCACAGCGCCTGAAAACATAGTTTAAAGAGCTTGAACATCCAACTTATTAATTTTGCAATAGTATGAATGAACAAAATAAAAAGGCCAGCAGTTTTTTGGGTGTCTGATGATCTCACAAGACAATACCTGAAATCTAGCATATGCTTCTGCTTAACAAATGTGCAATATATGCAGCAAAGTGCGACGTCATGAGCTTGTATGTTGATTGTCAACATAAATTGCATTCCACTCATTTGCAATCACTGAATTCATAGCTAAGATAAACAATGTTCAAAAACACATGCATATCACTAATCTACTTTTAGCCCATGATAAAAACAAATGCAACCTGTCTCGGGTACTAGAAGTTTTTTTCAGTATCAGATGCGCTGTATAGATGCAGAGTATTTTTTTTTAACACTGACAGAGTAGAAATGCAAAATTGCAGGTTACACCCCTCCTGCTACATATCATACAATGTTAAAAACACCATAGCTTATAATATACTTTTCCCATTAGTCCAAAATCGTCCAAGTAGAAGTTGGCCGTGTTGCTGGCAGATAACTTGGACCTACGAGTGTGATCAAATCAGCAAAATCACCAAGGAAGATGATCCCAAAATTTAGAGTTGCCAATCTATTGGAGAAAGGCCCATTTTCTCTAGTAGCTGATTTGTCTGAGAAAAATGCCTGTTCCATTAAACTAATTAGAAACATATGAAATAAAGTATGAAAAAGAAATAAAAGCAAAAAATCAGTGATGCAACATACAACAATTATAGAATTATTATACAAACTAGCACAGTCTACAAAAAAATTGTAGTTTAAACATATAAAATTAGGTTTACTAGATAGTCAACATATGCGGAATTCCATATCCTCTATCTCTAATGATATTGAAAAAGGATAAAGATGTTTGAAAATGGGTCTGGACTAGCAAATTTACAGGGGACAGGATAATGGAATGGGCAGCCACTTCTCTTAGAGATCAACTTAATGTAGTCATTACCTGTAATAGTGTTACCTCAAGAATTATTTAGGGACATGCAATATTTTCCGCTTATGTCAATAATCCAACATGCTAATTGTGACCAGAGACAAATGGATGGAATAAGTTTTTTATTCTTACTATCATCATTTGAGGATATAGAGCAGAATAGCCACTCGCATTGGCTCCACCATAGAAGATACAACAATATAAAGAGCAATTGAAAGAAAAAGCCCATGCAACAAAGTCAAAAACATGGTTGTTCTGTTGATAACGGACCTGCATCCAAAAAATCCTCTGTTTGCAGACAAGCCTGATGGATGAGCAGCTCTCAGGACATGGTGCTTTGACTCATCAATAAGTCTGCAAGTTGTGAGTGAATGTAAAAGATGTAGGTAAACAGCAAAATAGAGCTTAAATAAATTGATAGATATCAATCAAGACATTAATCAATACACCTGCCAAACTAACAGTTTTACAAATGAATTCTTCTACTACAATCTCTTCAACAGACTAGTTATGAACGATTCTGATGATAGGAAAAAAACATGTACTTTTCTAATAGTTTCATAAAGCATGTTCCTTCATCTATGTGTAAATATTCAAGATTTATAACAGTGATGACCTTTCAGGTTGAGCATATTGACAAATAATTTTTGGGTATAGATCTTAGAAAATATCTGCAGGTTCAAGGATCTTCTATATCTGTGACAAACCTAAAGTTGAGATAGGATATCAATTTTCTCATTGTCAAAGGAACTTGCCACTACATCAAACCTCCAAAGTTATGATAAGGGTTAAGGGCTTATTTTTATACTCTTAACACCTATTAACTGAGTGGGAGAACATACCTTGCCTTCTCTTGAGCAGAATTTCCCCAAAGAAGAAAAACAATTCCAGTTTTCTTCTGTGAAATTGTTCGTATCACTGCATCTGTAAATGCTTCCCAGCCCTTCTTAGCATGAGAATTAGCTTGATGGTTCCTCACTGACAGGGTTACAGTAAAAAAATTAATAAGAACATACAAGGGGGAAAATAGAAAGGGTTTCATTGGTCATCAGACGGCAAAAGAAGTAGTGTGTAATTGGATTTTCATTCCAAATGAATACAAATGAATACAAAAATGATCGTACGATATCAGGGAACCTGAGAAACTTAGACCAAAAGGCATCATGCTTTCGCCCAATAACCAGGACAAGGTTAGAGTTGTTATGCGAGACAGAAACATCTCATAACCTAATGAGTTTCTGCTTATAGATTGATCATTGTTTTGTTTGCATAACTGTAACAAGTTTCCGAAGTCTGATAGCTTTATGATGTCTGCAGAAAAAGGTCTAGAAAGTAACTCAATTACGGTGTTATGAGTCTGCAATAAGGCAAAAATCAATGTTATGGTAGAGAAGTTGGAATATCCAAAATTTAAAAAGATGTGCCTTCTACGGCACCCTTTGATGGTAATCTGGACGGACAAAACTATGTTGAAAAGAAAATGTCCCTTTGCAATTAATGCTGCCAGAGAGAGCACCACAGATCCTGGTAACATCATTTTGTAGATGAAACTGAAGTATTAAACAAACACTATGGTCGCTATTTTTCAGTGCGAACATAGGAACACTGCACATATATTCTTTATGGTTCTAGTGAGAGTCCACGCTGACCTCCATTTGGTTCAGCTATCCATTAATTCATTTACCATAGCTTTTTTAGTGATCTCAACTGCATCCTCGTTGCTCACAGTGTCATGTTATAATCACATTCTGCACACAGTAATTATTGTGTTGTATTATTGTGGTTATGTTAACCTTGCAAATAGGTAAAATCTGCAAATTACAGAGAACTTTTCTAGCATATAGATATATATACAATTTCTTACATAGCCAAGCAGATACCATTGCAAAATAAAACTGATAAATAGTTACAGATGTAATCATGTCTCCAAGTTCACTGTATCACTTGTTAATGAATAAAATAATTGAGATGCCTATAACAAAGTTGCATGCAAATTAGAAGGGAGGGAAGGAGGAGGGTGCTACATTTAAATGATATATTAAACGCAAATTAGAAGGGAGGGAAGGAGGAGGGTGCTACATTGATATATTAAAGCGCGTAAAAGGTATATACCTGTTAGGACAGTGTTGAGCAGAAGAACACCCTACATGAAAATATTATCAAAGTCAGAAGCAGTCTAAAGCAACTTAAAAGGAAATTTCCTAGTAAGATAGGATCAAGATCCTTAACTGCTGGTCATTAATTAGACCAAACAGTCCTCTATCAACCCCTTTCTTTTCCTCCCTTCAAATTTAAGCATATTTTACAGATAGCCTTGATTGGAGAGTAGAGAATCTATACAAGTCTTTATCAATGTTATACATTGTTTCTAGAATAATGAGATGCAGCATAAATACTGTTTGTACATATGCAAACAGGTCAGCCAAAATGTGGAATGTATTTAGTTAAAAGAATTTCTAGGGATAAATTCACATTAGGGACATGAAAATAAGGAATTAGATAAAAAGAAGCAAATCCATGGAAATGTTAAAAGAATGTCTCTCATGGTGGAAAAAGATGAGGACCATAAACACAGAAAACCATATACAAGATAACTCAACCAAATCAAACAATAGATAACTGAAAAGCATTTAGTTCACAATTATGTGAGAACACAAATGATGAATTTACCTGCACTGTCCATCTGTCTAGGTTACCATGTGATGGGATAGAACAGCCAACATCATTCTTCAGTTCTTTGAATATGTTGACTAGGCTTGATGGAACCTTGATACCCTCTGGTACTGAGAAAGCCAGACCCATGGCTTGACCAGGTCCATGATAAGGATCCTGAAACAGCCAGTTACATAAGTGATGAATTGTACATGACATCCAAAATATTAAAAGAAGGTAGTAATAAGAAATTGAACCAATATCAATATCAGCAGTTGATCTATTAAACAAGATTAACATCAGCATTTGATCTATTAAACAAGGTTAAGAAAAGTTAATCATAACAAAATCAATTACATCTTTCAACACTCGTTATCCTTTTCTGCCTTGCAGACGATGGGGAAAATTTTTGAATTGTTGGATGCAAAAATAGATCATAAGTAGTCAACAAGACTTCTAGAATTCAAAAATAGAAATTCATGCTTTATGCTTTGTAACGTGCATCATGAGACAAAAATAAAGCAAATATGTAACTACATCCGCTAAATCAAATCCATTCACATACCAGTAGCACATATTTTGCATCAAAGATTCTAAAATAACCCAAAAGGTAGAGAGAGAATATCTCAAAGTGGTATGCCACAAGCAAAAAACTAAGAATAATTCCTCTTCTGACAGTAATGTGATGCTAGCACACCAAATTTAATAAAGGTCAGATAACCCTGAAAAGGAGGTAACTCAAGATCAGTTGAAATCCATTCATATTCAAATCACAGTCCAAGATAAGAAGGCAAAAGTAACATAAAATTATTCAAGCCTACCCATCCAATAGCATTTAACCCAACTTAAGCGAACTAACGAGTTAATAGAGAATGAATAAGTTGAGGTTGAGTTAAAGAGGACCAACCAATTCTATTCCTTCTTTACCACCTCACATCCCATGCACCCATCAGCCGTTTTCACTTAGCTTTTCAACTTCCCATGTTTACCGATAAAGATCACGATGATGGGTCACAGACCAATGTGTATCAAGTAACTTCAATGCTCCCCCTTCAATGGGACGAGGACAAGTAGAAGACCTCTAGCATAAATGTCATTTGATTGAACGCAAAATAAACCGGGAGCAGTGATTAAATTATTTAATAGGAGGGTTTGAACCCTTGAAACTCATACTTTGGTAACATACAGATAACAACTTTTACCCAAAGCTTAAGCTAACAGTCGTTAAATGACAATGCATGTCAAGCAATCTTAATCACCTTTCATCTAACCCAAGTTCAACTTTGGAACATCAAAAATCAGGAAGAAGTATTGTAGTCATCTAATCTATCTGCAATCGGTTTGCGAATTTAGGAAAAAGAGTCCCATTTTCTCCTTTTAACTTCATCAAATTGAAATAAGGTATCAAAACTAAGGGGGGGTTATTGGTTGGGATAAATTGGGGCCAAGTGAAAAAATTGTTCCAATGGAACAATTTTACCCCTTTGGGATATTTTGAGTGGGGTAAAGTAGGATAAAGTGGGATAATAGGATAATTTGAGCCTTTGATTTGATAATTCATGTGGGATAATTGATGATGTGACACCTTATTAAAAAATAATTTTATCTATTAATTACTTCTAAATTAACTTATACAATTGGTTTAGTATATTATTTAGTATATTATTATAATATAATTATTATTTTACTTTATATTAAAATATAATATATTGTACTATACTTACAAATTACTATTATTAATTATTATATTGTATTATATTATATTATATTAGCATGCTATACTATATATAATAATTAATATAATATAACATCAATAATATATGTTATTAAAATATTAATATATGTTATTAAAATATCAATATATGTTATTATATAATATTATTAAAATATTATATAATATTATAATAAATACATTATACTATAATTACCATTATATAATATTATTAATATATGTTATTAAATTATGTTATTAAAATATTAATATATGTTATAGTTTATATATCATGTCATATATTTATAATATAATTAGCATGTATTAGTTAAGTAATACAAAAATATTTTAAAATTATCCCAATTGCCTTTAAAGTGGAACAACATTGTTCTAATATGGAGGATGGGGTAAACTTTTACTATTGAGACAAAATTTTTGTATATGATTGGGGTAATTTTATCCTAAGTGGTGTAATTGTCTCACTAGTGTTCCAAAAAACCAATAACACAAAAAGGTATTATCCTTGTTCCATTGTCCTAATGAATAACACTTTGAAATAGAATCCCCAAAATTATCACATTATCCCCCAAAATGTCCCAACCAATAACCCTCCCTAAGAGTTTGAGAACAGAAAGAACAGTCAGATACTTTCACTCTAGGCATTTGAAGTGAAAAACAATGTGCTATTTTTCTTAATTAAATTGTAGATTGTTAGGAAATAGTCGCTGAAACTTTATATTTATAGTTATAATTTATTTCATGCTTAGGTGGTAGTAATACCTATCATATAGAAAACCTACATCCTGGCATGATGAACAATTCGATGAGAACCTTTAAATGTTTGCTACAAACAATACATTTCTTCCTGAAGTATACATTCCTCGACTTAAGGTACATTTCTCACTTGGAACTCAGAAAATATACCTGCCCGATGATCACAACCTTCAACCGATCAAACGGAGTCGAATTAAGTGCATTAAAGATGAGGTATGGGGGTGGATAGATCGGAACGCTCCCACAAATCTCTCTTTCTACAAACATACACAGATTCTTCGCATAGGGCTTCTGAAGCTCATCAGGAATTGCTTCCAACCATGTCTCTTCAACCAAAAGCTCCTCCAGCTTCGCATAACCCAACCCTTCAGCTGAACCATCACACATTCAGTACAAAAATCCAACTTTACCAAAAGGATTTTTTACCTATAAACCCTCAAATATAGATATTTGCTAATTTAACCCTATATTCCACCTAAGAGTTAAAATATTCAGATATTCCGTTCAAAATCTAAAGACATTAAATATGGGGGTATTTTAACTCAATGTAGTAGACGCAAGGAATAAATTAGCGAATATCTAGCTTTTAGGTGTATACTTGCAAGACGTGCTTAATTTTGAGGGCCTATATGCAAAAAAGAGAAAATCTTTAACCAAAACTAAAGTATACGGAAACCCTAGGAAAGAAGTAATACCTTTGGATTTCTCGATCTTCTCGGTGCAGAGCCTGAGATTGCGCTTGGATCGAGCGAGGGCTTTGTTTATCTCGATTCTTGATCGCTGTTCGGGGGTGAGATTGGAGGCGGCGTCGGCTGAGGTTGAGCTGGAGCAGGCGGCGATGGGGGATTTGGGGATTACGGTTCCGGCGGGGGAGGATGAGGAGAGGGTTTTCAGGCGCTTTGACGGATTGAGGAGCTCCATTAGGGTTTTTGAAGCAGAAGAAGCCATTTTTATCTTTTACTTTTAAATTTTTTTTTCCCGATTGTTTCAGCTTTAGGAGAGTAGATGCATTAGGGTTTATTTTGGGATGAATCAGGAGATATATCATGGATTTTGGCGGGAAGGCTATTGAAGGGCTAATTGCAGTACAGCTGTTGTTATTGTTGTAGTTCATTTTCCAGTAGCTGTGAGAAAAAGTTAGGCAATGTCATTGAATAAGAAAACATAAATAAATATGAGGGAAAATTGTGTCGATGTCCCAAAAACAATATCTTCATGTGTTGTAACACTTTTATTTTTTTTCCCAATATGGTTCAGCCCCAAAAAGTGTCATATCATATGTTGCAGCCATCATATCATATGTTGCAGCCATCTTTTAGCAATTATTACCCGCCAACTAAGCATAGAGAGAGCATAAAAAATACAAAACTCCAAAATGCCCTTATCTTCTCTATTCTTTCATGTTAGGTCTATTTAGAGTTCATGTTAGAACTAATTCATGTTAGGTCTAATTTCAGTTCATGTTAGGTATAATAATAGTTCATGTTAGGTCTAATTTTAGTTCATGTTAAGTCTAATAATAGTTCATGTTAAATCTAATTTCAGTTCATGTTAAGCCTAATAATAGTTCATGTTATGTCTAATTTCATGTTAGGTCTAATAATAGATCATGTTAGGTCTAATAATAGTTCATGTTACATCTAATCTAATCTAATACTATTATAAAAGTGGATTGGCATGTTAAAACATTTCTTCCAAAAATGCCCTCCAAACCACATACATACATACATAAAACACATGCATCCATACATATAAACACATACATATATATGCATACATTCTAATAATGTCATAACTCTCCTATTAATTATCCACTAATATTAACTTCTAATTTTTGTAACCCCTCCACTAATCCAATATTAATGTCATCATTAGGATAAAGGTACAAATTGTCTACACCTATCAATGATGCATGATTACAAATGAAAATTTCAGTTTAGAATTTAAAGGTCATGTGATTCTTATAAATTGACCTAATTTTCTCAGTCAAACATATCCGCATTAAATAGAAAATAGAACTTGGAGAAAAAGGTTGAGGAATGGAAGAAAAGACAATCATCACAGGTTAGTAAAAAGTTAATCATTGTTTATACTATTATTATAATTTACTTATAGCTTTCAAAAATAGTGTTAGATGGTTACGTAAAAACATGTAGATAGTAAAAAGGTAACTACATGATTTTCTATTAAGATGCACTCGTGAAGGTTGAGGGAGAGAAGGAGAGATCGATGTTCATTATCCAATTTTCAATGGTTTTTGTAAGTTATATAATTTTTTTTTAGAAGGAGAGATCGATGTTCATTATCCAATTTTCAATGGTTTTTGTAAGTTATATAATTTTTTTTAAAAATGAGTGACCATTAGTATCCAATTGCGTTAGTTTATTTGATGTTAAATAAATATCCAGTTTTTTTTACTACTAATATTTCAAGTTGGGAGCTTCGTGATTACATTTGCCATAGTTCATATTTTATTTCATCCATATTTTTATCTCCAGATGAGTTTCTCGATACATTAACACTTATATAAATAGTATTACCAATTTTTTATTCTTATGTGGCTAATGGTTTCTAGATTTAAAAATAGCAAAAGGCGGAGTCTGCCTCCAAGACCTCTAATTGCTCCAAGACACCCCGGATTGAATGTCATGATAAATTTCTCGATGTATTTCATTAATACTTTACTCTTTCGGAGCTTAGTATCAAATTATTTATTTTTAATCCAGAGGCGCATGTTATTGTTAAGGACCAAGGAGTATTGATTGTGTTTTTAACTTCCTTTGGATAAATGGAGCGGAGTTCCATTTCTTTATTTTGAGAAATTTTATTTACTTGAGGTTCATAAATTTGTAGATGTTACTTTTTTAATGTGCATGTGATTAATGGAAGTTTGTGGTGTAATTAAGAGTTATATCATTTTTTTTGTTATTTTGAGAAATATTATTTACTTTAGGTTTATAAATTTGTAGAAATTGCTTTTCTATTATGTGTAATTTATGGAAGTTTGTGGTGTAATTTGGAGTTTATCGGACACAAAGTAAATTCACATAATAGTTCTTAATGTCAAGTAACATGAAAGCAGTAAATAACTATTTATTGACAACAATGTGAAAATTATATATATAGGAATATCTGTATGGAATGCATATACTTGGTTGAATGTGTGCAATGTAGATATATGTCAAATGCCTTTTTGATGTATCCTAAAATCCCAATGTAGGAATGATGGGATTAAAAACACTTGACTAACAAATTCATTTACATTATTAACTCATTTTCTTAATAATAGTTCATGTTAGGTCTAATAATAGTTCATGTTAGGTATAATAATAGTTCATGTTAAATCTAATTTCAGTTCATGTTAGGTCTAATTTCAGTTCATGTTAGGTATAATAATAGTTCATGTTAGGTCTAATAATAGTTCATGTTAAATCTAATTTCAGTTCATGTTAGGTCTAATTTCAGTTCATGTTAAGTCTAATAATAGTTCATGTTATGTCTAATAATAGTTAATGTTAGGTCCAATAATAGTTCATGTTAAGCCTAATAATAGTTCATGTTAGGTCTAATAATAGTTCATTTTAAGTCTAATAATAGTTCATGTTAGGTCTAATAATAGTTCATGTTATGTCTAATATCAGTTCATGTTATGTCTAACAATACTTCATGTTAAGTCTAATAATAGTTCATGTTAGGTCTAATTTCATGTTAGGTCTAATAATAGTTCATGTTAGATCTAATAATAGTTCATGTTAGGTCTAATTTTATGTTAAGTCTAATAATAGTTTATGTTAAGCCTAATAATAGTTCATGTTAGGTCCAATTTCATGTTAGGTCTAATAATAGTTCATGTTAGGTCTAATAATAGTTCATGTTACATCTAATTTAAGTATATGTTAAGTCTAATAACAGTTCATGTTAGGTCTAATTTCATATTAAGTCCAACTTGATTCGTGTTAAGTCTAAATTTAGTTCATGTTAAGTCTAATAACAGTTCATGTTAGGTCTAATTTACTTCATGTTAAATTCCTTTTAAGTCTAATTTAATTCATGTTAAGTCTAATTTAAAATTAGACCTAACATGAACTATTATTAGACTTAACATGAAATTAGACCTAACATGAACTATTATTAGACTTAACATGAACTAAAATTAGACATAACCTAAACTAAAATTAGACTTAACATGAACTGAAATTAGACTTAACATGAACTATTATTAGACATGACATGAACTATTATTAGACTTAACATGAACTAAAATTAGACCTAACATGAACTATTATTAGGCCTAACATGAAATTAGACCTAACATGAACTCTAAATAGACCTAACATGAAAGAATATAGTAGATAAAGCTATTTTGGGGTTTTGTACTTTTTATCCTCTCTATACTTAGTTGGCGGGTAATAATTGCTAAAAGAAGACAGCAGCACATGATGTGACACTTCTTGAGGTTAAACCACATGGGTGAAAAGTGAAGGGAGTGCATCACATAAAAATATTGCTTTTAGGGCATTGACTCGATTTTAATGTAATGTGAACATGTGACAAAGGAAAAATGAGAAAGTGAGCGGGGATTCTCATCGATAGATTTATTTAATACGATGATCGATCTCGTCTAGTTTTAATCTGCACTAGACACGGTCCATGTGTAAAAGTTATATAATTTAAACATTTCTAATCATTATATTAGTCATTTGTAAAATGAACATTAGTGAAATTTTTTATTCATGTTTTAAAGAATATAGACTAGTTTGAAAAGTTAACACATAGATACTAGGCATATCCAACTGTTAAGTGACTTATGGGACCTATCTCTTTTTTTTTTTTGTTATAGTATATTTATAACATAATTAACATTATCTTAGATGTAGCGAAAGAGTCAAGTTGAACTGGCACTCTAAAGTTTCTAGTTTAACTCTCCCGAAAAGCATCCATAAAAATTTACTTTTCTAGAATATTAGAGGCCGCGCTTTGGGAGGCAGGGAAGTTTGCTCGCCAAACAAAAAAAAAAACCTTATCCTAGAAGTTGCCCGATGGAGTTAAAAATCGGTAAAATATAAACTGTTAAATAATTATTAAATAGCTATTTTTCTTCAAGCCATTAATTAGCAGCTCACTCTCCATTCAAGAAGTAAACTGAACACATAAACTGGGAGAGACGATTGTCTCAAAGTGTGACGCTCCTGGTTTTATACAAGGCTGTAGTCCAAAGTGAACCTAAGAATGTCAAACCTGACATGCATCCACACAGTGCAACAACACGTTTCACCATCACAGTAATATCTCTCTAGTGGAATCAACAATAAACAAGTGCAGGTACAAAGCAAATAGAATAAGATGATAATACAATGAACATGATAAAGAAGGAGATATCCAAATAAACATAATCATGTTCCACCTGAATAAAAGAGAATACTACTGATAAACTGAAACAAATGTAAAATATCTCGATACATAGAGTCAAATAAAAATAGTACTAAGGCACACGGTCTTTCCAAAATAAAGTACAATTCTAAATGTTTGAAAATGAACAATAACTACTGTGGAGCACTAAATAACTAATAATAATGAATAATGATAGAAGCTAAGCCGAAATTCCATCAACCTGTGACTCTCCGTATGCCTGACTCACTGCCTGAAAAGAGGGGAAACATCGAGCGTCAAAGCGCTAGCGGGATCATCTTCACCGCCCCCAGGGAGAGGGGGTTAGGAGTATATATATGAAAAATACGGGTTAGTGTGTGTGTGTGTGTGTGTGTGTGTGTGTGTGTGTGTATAACACATCTATCCTGAACTAAGTGAAAATTAATATTTAGAAATCCACATCATGAGAATGGGTACGTCAAGCGAAATAATCGAAACAAGAAAACGCTCATGTATATACCTTATATCTTAAGTTGTGAATAACTAAATACCAACTCTAAATCCTAAGAATAAAACAATAAATGAAAGACAATACCATACCAAACCTCATCTAATGCCAATCATGTCAAACATCTCACACTATCCTCGGGTAGGTGGCGTAGTCACAAAAATAAACATCCGATACAAACTTCTCACATAGAAATACCGTGAATAACATCCTCAGTCTCATATCCTACTCTCGGGTAACTAACATGGGAGCATGAATGCAATCTGTGCAATCTCCTAACAGAAACAACGATACTTTTGTAAGACGCTCACAGTATCATGTGGCATCAACAACCTTACTCAATCGCCCTGCAAAAACAAATATATCACCCTATTCCGAAAAACAATGATGCAACATAGAGTGTCGTCCGGCCACGGTCTCATTGCGGGGTATAACTAACAAACTATGAGTGTAGTCTAGCCGCGATTTCATTGCGGGAATACTGACTAACCCCACTCAGCATCCACACATTCATGAAATGCAATATATATGACTATCTATCACAACTAGATCAAAATATAAGTTACGCACCTCCGAATGCTCGTGTGTGCGCATCACCAATACGTGTACACTCTCAGGGTCACGTGCATGGATCTACGTGCAACACGTACTCCGTGGTTGCGATCAAACAAACGTAGTGAAAACAAATACTCAAATAGCAGCTCATCGGTCGACCGAAGTAGGCCATCGGTTGACCGATCGGCTCATGCACAAACGTGCACACGCTACACAGTTTGCATCTGTCGACCGACTCCTTCGTTCGATCGACCGACTAGAAGAGAAATTGAAAATGAATTTACAGTGCAGGTTTTGATCTACAATCCATCAAATTGATATTTTTACATATAAGTACATATAATTAAACTTGTTTAATGTGATTAGGGTACGATTAACTACATGAAACTCAATTTATCAAGTTTGAGTGAATTCTATTAACCCTAACATGATCATGTTCGTAAGGATTATAATGAAAACCAAAAATCTCGACAAAATCTCATGTTAGAATTTATTTTAGAAATTAAATCCAAATAAGAGAATCAGTATTATAACTTTTTAAAATCAAAGGATCAAATCTTGTAGCCTTGTTGTTACGCCCCACTTCTTAAAATACCGGGGAATCGGGACGTGAACAAGCCCGCGACGTATTAGATTAAGGAGAATAAATAAAAATAAATATTTCTTCTCAACCTAATACGCTAAGCGTCAAGCAATATACAATGTAAAGTCACAAGTCCCCGATCACAGTTAGCAAGAATATAATAGACAAACTTAGAACAAAATAATCCATATCATAAAAGAAATATCATCCAAAACATAATATTCGGGTCAACATGCCCTTATACAAAACTGAACAACAGGATACTAGAGAAATATAAAAATACATCGTCCAACAGAAATAGAAAGGAAATACTGTAAAAGTAAACTAAGACCATCAACTAATAAAATAAAAACTAGGCTTCGACTTCTTCTTCTGCACTGTCTGCAAGGCACTTCTACTGAGAATATTCGGGCTCTAGCGTATCTCCAAGCTGGACATGTCCTTCCTCTAAGTCTGACGTACACCAGAGAAAACAGGTGCACGTCAGCGTGTATGGCACACGGTAAGACCCCACAAAAGAAAAGAACGGTCGAACGACCAAAGCAATAATAGATGCAACAACAGTAATGACAATAAAAGCGTGACCAATGCGATAACAGAAATAGAAATAGAAACATGTGATGATAGTAACAACGATAGAGGTATGCAACTGGAATACTAACAATCTAGACATGATCCACTAGTAGAGTATAACAGTCAGGAGAATCGATAATCATTCAAGTGACGAGGTCATACTACTAGCCATCCTATCACAACTCACTGGTCCACATCTCAACAAAACTAACAAAGTCTTCCAGAAGACCCACAAGCATATTATACATATTTTACATGTTATTTGAACTGGGGAAGAATATCTTCATGTATATAATCGGGTCCCCATAAACCTGTCCAGGGGCCGTGCCTTCAAGTCAAGTATTGACCCTCTGGCCCATGTATATAAAAACTCACGATATCAGAAAAGCGCATGTGCCCGTTTATATAGATGCTATATGCTCCATCCAATTCCCCTTTATAAACCCCATGTTTGTCATATTAAATTAAATGACTATACATAAAATATTGTGCACTAGTCACGGAGTTACCGTGGAACGACTTCTGTAAAACTATAAAAATAATCATGACCCATAATACGTCCGATTAAGAGTGCATCGTCTAGTCAATGCTATAATAGTAATAGTCAAGGAAACCTTATACGGGGATATCGATATCAAGGGAACTCAGCACTCCTCACATTGGGATATCGATGTCGAGTGAGTATAGCCATGCTTTGAAGCACGCTTATAAATCATACTTTTAACAGGAGTCGTCTTCATGTACAGTCTCTCCTATTGGATAACAACTAGATGATAAAACAACAAGCTTCTATATAGTCATTTGTCAAACAATCCATGTATGTAATCACAATATATACAATACAACTAATCATATTATAGTCTAATCTAATTAATTAACTTATAAAAGATCTAGAAATTGAATGACAAGTCAATAAGTAATGAGATCTTGCCTACAAGGCCACAGAGCCTATTGACGAGATGGCGACGTTATAGTTTGCTGTTCGTTGTTCGGCGATGCGCGCAGCGGATCGAGAGGCTAATTTGTGGAGCCGGACAGTGGCGTCGGTGGTGATGAAGGAGGCTGTTCGACGTTGGGTGTTGAGGTGAGGAGGAGGACATCAACGGCGGGCTCGGGCTGTTGGGGGAGGCGGTGAGGCTGGGGCTGAGCTCGGGTTGAAGGAGGAGCTCGGGGCGAGGGCGGTGATGGGATGGAGCGACAGTCGAAGCCAGGGTAAGCGCTCGTCGGAGGAGGCGTAGGTTAGGCGAATGAAGGCGCGAGATGGGGTAGCAGAGCTATTGGTGGGCGGTGGCGCAAGGCGAGGTCGGATCTATAGGAGGCACGGCGTTGGCTACTAGAACGACGCGACATCTGACGGTAAATGGGGCGGCGTGGAATCTGATCTAGGCACGTTGGTGAGAGAGGAGGCGTAGGAGAACGGGAGCGGGGAGACAGGTGGTGGAGAGGGTGGCCGATGGGGAATGAGGCGCGGTCGACGGGGGAGAGAGAGGTAAACGCTGGGGGAGCAAGGTGCGTCGTACGGCGACGAAGGGGCGGCCAAAGCGGCGGCTCGCAGAGCAGAAAAGAGAGAGAGGGGAGAGAGCAGAACACGAGGCGCTGTGTTTTCGTGAACTGGAAGAGAGATACATATATAGGATATATATAGGTTTGAAATTAGGGTTAGAGTTTAGATATTTAAACAAAAATAATTAATAAAAAAATATAATTACTTAAATTTTAAATTAAATAATTATAGGAAAATTATCTACAAATTAAAACATATCAGTTATACTAATACAACAGATAATATGTAATAGTAGTAATAATACAACAAATTATACAAATAATACGTAATATTAATAATAATACACTATATTATACGAAATAATACATAATAGTAATAATAATACAACATATTATTTAAAATGATACGTAATAGTATCGATAACACAACTGATTAATTCCAGAAATTTTTACTGCACTAAGTTAATTCATAAATATCAAAATAATTTAAATAAATATAAAATTGGATTTTTAAATCGTAGAAAAGTCTAAAAAATTGAGAAAAATACAAATATTCTTTTAAAAATAATAATTAAATATTTTAAAATACCAAAAATTTATTTAAACTAGTCTCGAAAATTCATGGTCATTACACTTGTGGTTTAAAAGAACAATCTTTATACTTAAACTAGGTTTTAAAGTCTAATAAAACCAAATAGAAATAAGTGAAAACCAAATAAACACGGGGATGAGATTGGAGGAGATGAAACTCGCCTCAACACATGCAAGAATCCCCAAATATGCAAGAAAACAGGTTCTCCTTCACCAAATGTCAATGATCTCACCCTCTTCTCGGTATTTACTTCACAAAGCTCTTGAAAATCATAAAAAATAATATCTAGGGTTTTGAGGGGAGAGAGTGGCTGCTAGGGTTCAGAGATATGATGAAAAAGGGAAATTTTTGTGAAATATAACCATATATATAGGCAAACCCGAATCAACTCAAAAAGAACGGAAAACAAAACCTATAGGGTTCTGCCTCCCGTCGGTCGACTGATGCTATCATCGGTCGATCGTCCAACTCCCATCGGTCGACTGATATAAGTTGTCAGTCGACCGGCCAGAAGCAAAAATCCAACTTTGTAGGTTTGTGAACACATGCATGATTTCACTCGTTTACACTTATATACATACTTAATCAATCTCAAATTGATTACCCATGTACTCATTCATCAATAAATGATATTTATCATAATATAACTCACTTAATACTATTTACCATAGTATTTTCAAAAATTATGGGGTTTTACACAAAGGTACTTTCCTTACACTGTAGAGTAAGCCCCCTTTAGATGCTAGTATTCCTCCTTAAACCTCATCATTTCTTCATTCCTCTCAAAATCCAAGAAGCCATTACTCTCTCAATGGAGATAATCATCAGTGTTGCCATTTTCCCATCTCTCAAGCTCTCCAATGGAGCTCCTCAGTCTCATCTCCTCTTTAAATACTCCTTGTTCTTCAAACCCATGAGCTCAAATCCTCAGAAGAGCATTTTGATTGCCGCTAAGGGTATGTTTGGATGGAGGGTAGAGTAGGGAAGGAGAAGAGAAATTTGGATTTAACATTGTTTGAAAGTTCTATTAGGAGGGTAGAGGTGGGGAAGTTAAGGAAAAGTTTGCACTAAAATCTTACCCCCCCCCCCCCCCCCCCCCCC